TATTGGGAAAACTAAAAGCATTTCCTCTTTTTTTTTTTTGTTTGTCAGTCTGGGCCTAAACTCTGGGCCTAGGCAGTGTCCCTCAGCTCTTCAGCCCAAGGCTAGTGCTCTACCACTTGAGCCACAGCACCACTTCTGGCTTTTTCTGCTTATGTGGTGCTGAGGAATCAAACCCAGGGCCTCATGCATTCAAGGCAAGCACTCTACTACTGAGCTACCTTCCCAACCCTGGGTAGTTTATCTTTAAAACCAAAAAAAGAGTTTATTTAAAGTTTTTAGATTTGACAACTGTTGGTTAAGCTTTGGATGGTAAGCCTAGTGGCTGTGCCTCAAAATGGCAGATAGAATCATGTAACAGAAAACATACAAGAATGAGAGGTTACACGGTAACAGAAGCAAGAGACCAGGCAGGAGCCATGCTCATTCTTCGATCACAACTTCCTGAAGTGGAGTGGGGGTAATCATTTTCTGTGAGAACTACACTATCCCTTCCATGGGTGATGCACTGCTATGGGTGTGAGTCTGAAGTCTTCTAATGGAGAATTGCCCAGAATTATGTCTGAAGTCATTCTCTGGTAATATATGCATTGTTGGTAATAACTGTGTTTTTTTAGAGTAAGCATGGTGCCCAGGAAACATTGAGGCATTCAATAAAAACAAGTCCAAACCAAATCAGGAAATAAAATGCACCAGGTGAAGCACATATTGCAGAGCCTAAGAAGTTTTCCAACCTATAACCACACACACACACACACACACACACACACACACACACACACACACATACACACACACGTGATTTATTCATCCCTCAGTATAACTAAATTCAAAAATGATTTTTACTAAGCAGCTCTCTATAAAGGTATAGTGATCAACAATATTGATTAAGTTTTTCAAAAGATATAAAAAAATGTTATCATTTGCTTTCTGAAGTAGAACACTACAGTAATTACTTTAAAAGAAGATACCTTTGATGAAATGATCAACATAATGAAGATTGGTCACCTGATGGCCATGCTCTTGAAGAATTTCAGACACTCGGGCCATCAGTAGAGAATGGCTTCCCACTAAGTACAAGACACAATTCCATTTTTGTAAAGGCAAGAATAAGTGTCTCAATGATAATGTAGGTGCGTTGGTGGCAAGAAGGAATGGAAACTGAGGCAAGAATGTGCAGAAACAAGAAAACTCTGCAGTGTACAGGTGGGGACAAGTTCCTCCAGCCCTTCTATCTCCCTTTGGGGTAACACTCACCATCACATATACCGAGACCCCTGAAATATGCCAGTTCTTCAGCAAAGACCTTTGGATGGTGAAGGTCTCCATGCCAGTGTGATGAGGATCTCTGGGTTTTGATCCTAGAAGTTGATCATTACATCAGACGCATTGTTTTTGAACTGAAGTTTATGGAGAAATTATGTCCAAAAGAAAGAATTGTAATGGTGGTAAAAACTGATAATGCATAGTTGTGGGAGTCATTTTGAAGTTTTCTAAAGGACAATCTGTCAGACGTATTTCTGAGGTCATTCTCTGGAAATTTATGCATTGTTGGTAATGTATATGTTTTTAAATGAGTTCTAAAAACAGTCCTGGTAACAGGGTTTTGAACCCAAGTCCTTTAGATTCAGAGGATTTGGGCATAAAGTCTCCCTTTTTGCAAACCTAAGTTTTAGAACTGTTGGATTCATTTACTAAGCACAAATATGAAAGCAGAAGAAATCTAGGAGATGACCAAAGTTTTCTAGGTACCTATAGTTGGTACATTACTTGTCTCTGGTCAATCCTGGGACCCCTAGGAAACAGTAGTTGGGTTCTTGTGAGATACACTCACTTTATTCTATCACTGTTTTGCGAAGCCATGTTCTATTTGGGGCATCAGTCTTGAGTATATGAATGTCAACAGAAGAGAAAGTCAGATAAAGTGAGCAGAAATGGCAATCATATGAAGTTAGAAGTTAGAAATTGTTTGGGGGAAGAAAACCACCATGATTATTAAATTGGAGTGGTTTGTGGAGGGAGAGAAATTTACATCCATATTGGTGTAATAAGGAAGGACATTAACGTGTAGTAATGAGTGAATGTGTAGTTCCTGTTCACATTTTACTCAGCATTAGAACTAGGTACCAGAGGAAAAGAAACAGAGGGTACCCACAGGGCACCAATATGGCAGGTATTAATGAGCAATAGTGCATTAGCCTAGGGTAATGGTGAGAATTCCAGCAATGCACCCACTAATTCAGTAACTGTCTCCTGGAAGAGAATGGGGAGAGACAACAGATGTTTTCAAGGGGTGAAATTTCTTCATTCAGTATTTTGGACAGCTAGAGAAAGCACATATCACAAATGGAGCTAGAACAGTACATTTGGGTTTGTTTTTTAATCTTCACAGGATTTTGTTTAAATGTGTGCAAATTCTTTGTGAGAGACTTTGAAGAGTACAAAAGGCAGCTCTGGTATTAACCCCTTGTCTCCATCTCAGAACAGGGGAAGAAAAATCTGATGTACACACTTTGGTTCTCTCAAGCACTCCACTCCACAGATCTGGCTTTCTAGCTGTGCTCTAAGGGAAAGCACTTTCATTTCAGAAAGATTTGAAGAAGTGGCTCAAGGAAACTTCTTCTTGTGATCATTCTGAAATATTGATAAATATTTAGCTTCTCTGTTCTATTCCATTTGTTGACAACTGAAATAATAATGGGCACAAAAAATCCAGAATTAACATCACTATGAGTCTTTTAAAAACTTACAGAACCTTAAACAAAAAACATAGTCCCCAAGAACTCAGTTGAGCAGGGTTCTCTCTGCTGGTGAGTCATTTTCTCAAAGTCACCTAGGAAGAAAAAGTTTCTGTATGTGTGTCCACCAAGACAAGAACACCTAGCCTTGGGTTCTGGAGAGACTAAAAATGCTCACTTTCTACTAAAAGCAAAGGTACATCTCTAGGAAATTAAGGGTGAGCCTATTAACCACCCTGACCTAAAAGAGGTGATAGAGGTTTTTAGTCCAGAACTGGAGCTAACCCTCTGTAACCAGCCCTGTATAAAGGGGAATACTTCAGAGCACTTAGAAGAAAATGGGAAAAAAAGGAAGGCCCCATTTTTTACAGAATGAATTCCACTTCTCTATGCCAAAGAGTCACTTCTGAACCTAACAGTGCTTGTTCTGTTTTCCCTATTCGTTATTATTTCCCAATTTTTCTCAAACCCTAGAAGCACAGGAATCCTAGGCTGTCAGGTTACTAAATTTTCCAGACAAAAACTTACCCAACACAGACATTGTCAGAATTTTAGCAGATTCTGAGAACAGTATCCCAGGAAGAAAGAAGGTGATTAGATTCAGCATCCTCAGGCCAGTCATACTCATTCTTCTAGATGCCACAGATCAGACCCAAGATGCTGTACACCATGAAACCTAGAGGCCTTTAAAGAATTCTGTTCACTTCTGCATAACTGATCTGGCTGTGAACTTGAGAATAAGAAAATGGATTCTGCCTGTCCTCCCTTCTCTTTGCACAATGATCTTCTGCTCCTTCTCGCTTGGTCCATGCCAATTGGATATTTTACCCTCACCCTTCCAAATCAAAGTTCTTGGAAAAGAACAGAGGGAAAGCTAATTATTCATCCTGCTCTGTCTGTATACTCACTTCTTGTCAGATAAAAAAATAAACTAGGAATTTAGTTAGAGACCTTACAAAATGATGACAAAGATAGCTCCTTGGAAATAATTGAGCCCAAACTTTTCTCCTAACTGAATTCAACAAGAAATTTATTTATTACCTTACTTATGTAACTGTAACCCCATCTGTAAATCACATTGACAATAAAAAAAATAATTGAACCCAAATCTCTTTTGGGATTCTTTCCTCAACTTACTATGTTGTAAGTCCTTTATACTACACTCATCATAACTATTATCCTTGGTACCAGTTTAAAATCCTTGATTATGTTTTCATGTTCATGATCTCAGAAAATATGCAAGAGAAAACAGCTACTATGGTTTGGCACTTTTTTTATAAGATACTAACTCATTAAAAGATGCTAAGTCCAACTCTTACCTGGAGCATTTAACCTCTAAGGTTAAAGCCATAATTTTGAGTGAATATCATAAAATATAATTGGGAATTTGTCACAGGACAGCTGGACACAATGTGATCTACAGTTATACTTGCATTCTCTCCTCAAACCTATCTGTGCGCATGCACTTGCACACCAGACCTGGGCTTGAATTCAGCATGTGAGCACTGTCCTTGAGCAGCTATGTTCAAGGTTAGCATTCTATCACTTGAGCCACAGCTCCTCTTCCAGCTTTCCTGGTGATCATCAACTGAAGAAAGAATCCCGTAGTCTTGGAAAAAAAATTATATTAAGTGAAGTAAGCCAAGCCCAAATGAAACATAGGTCCCATGGTTTCTCTTATTTGCAATAACTAGTATATGTCTGAGACAAGCAGAAAAGGTCATATAAGTTGAAGTTAGGTGAGATGAGCCCCAAGATAAGGATTCAAATGGTTTTTCTTTCTTGTGATTGTTTCTAACATATTTATAAGATGATTTTTTTTGTTGCTTTGTATGTCCCTCTCCCATGGTATAACCCCTGATTTCACTGTATTTGATGTTGGTATAATTTGTGGAGGGGAAGGGAAGAAACAAATCGTTTAAATAGGGATACAGGTGGACCCATTACAACAATGAGATGTACAAGCCGTTATGTCTAAAAACGGAACTTTATAACTTTGGCTGGGGGAGGGGGGAGTAGGGGGATGAGGGTGTGGGGTGGGAAGGGATGGGAAAGGGAAACAAAGGAGGAGGCCACAATACTTGATAAGAAATGTACTCATTACCTTGCTCATGTAATTGTAACAATAAAAAATAAATTTACAAACAAGAAGGAAACAAAAAGAAAACAAGATAAGGGACTGGCTGTACCAGTGCTCACATACCTTCAATCTGTCTAACCTTAAACGTCTCCTAATGCATTATGATGGTTAGTTTTAGGTGTCAAATGGTAAAGCATTATCTTAGGGTATGTCTGTGAGGGTGTTTCTGAAGAGAATAGTGTTTCAGTTAGTGGACTCAGGAAGAAAAGTGCATCCCTTCCAAGGTGTTTGTCTACCATACAATATGCTGAGGGCACAAGAGAACATAGAAGGGGTAACATTGATCAACATACATTATATTCATAAACTGCTTTGCTAAATAGGAACTCCTTTGCACAATGACTTAAAGATTCTTTCTTACAAAAGCAACAGAGAAGTGAATTCCTGCCTTCTGTCTCTGGAGCTGGGATATCCACTTTGTCCTGTCCTAAGATATTTAAATACCTTTTTTTATAGTCTTTAAATTCTAGGATTATGTAGCAACTCCTAGGTACTCTGACCATCTGCCTTGGACTAAGGCAGATATAGTTACTCTCTACAATAGCATGAGTCAATTTCTCTAAAAAATATTCTTTCATATGTATTTCTGTCTTGAAGCAACACAAATATAATTATATGATATATATGATTATGGCAATACATATAATTATAAAATGATTTGTTTCCTAACTCTAAATTGCTTCTTTATGCAGTGGTTTTACCTTAAGCTAACCAGATGCCACATCTTATTCTTCAGCTGAACATAGAATCATAAACACTAGAAACAAAATACCTGCAAATCTAAATACTTCCATCCCCATTAGGAAGTCAGAAAGTGAACTAAAATAAGTGAAACAATTATGTCTTGTGTTCCTGAAACATGTGCCAAAAAAATTAACTGGAATGCTAGATCAAGGGCTAATGATCAAGCATGGTAAATGATTAGTTCTGGTAGCATAACTAAATTTTTTTAAAAACTTAACCCTCAAACAAAAGAAATTTCAATGATAATCATATAAAGATGTTAAGGAGTTTCTGCTAATTTTGGAATGTGTTACAATATTTCTATAATATTAAAAAAGGAGACAGAGATGCATTTACAACATTGACAGAAGTGTTATAATATCTGGAGTTTCCATCAAACTACTGTGTGCAAAGGGAATGGAATGACAAGGAAATAGATATAGAATGGAGAGAAATTAGGTGAAGCAATTCAATACCTACAAATGGTTGAAATTTCATTAAGAAATTAAGAAATAATCCTAATATCACCTTAGCACCTTGATAATGAAGATTATCTCACTGGGAATATATAATATCTGCAAAGACTATTCTTAATATGTATTTATTATGACATGGCATGATAGTTTACAGAAAACATTAAGGCAGAAATGATATTGTTTCATTCTTTGTATAACTTTTTCTTCATTTCATTGATTATTTCTTGAATATTTATTTATTTACATTTGCTAATATTTGGTTTAACAAGTTTGTTTTTCTAAGGAGTTTGAAGAATATCACGAGGCTATTTATTTGAGAGATCTCTCTCTTTAAAACTTATGTGCTCATAGCTCTAAACTTTCATCTTAGCACTCTCTTTTCTGGAGCCCAAAGGTTCTGGTAGGTTGTGTTCTGATTTTTACTAAATTATAACAACCTTTGGATTTTCTTCTCTCCTTTAATGATTTAGTCATCATTCAACAATGTATGATTTAGGCTCCATGTGTCAAGATATTTTGCTCCTATTTTTCTCCTTTAGAAAAATTGTTTTTTACATAAAAAGTGATACATACAAAAAATCTTTTGTTGTTTGATTGTACTAGTGATGTAGTTAATGCTGGTTTTGAGACAGGGTCTCATTATGTGACCCAAGCACATGATCCTCTTTCCTCATGACTCATGATTCTTTTTCAAGTTACAATTACTGGGATTAAAAACATATACTCTATCTCTTAGTGAAAAGTATATATTTTTATTTTAAATACAATTTTTTAAATTTTTATTTATTGTGAAAATATCATACAGAGGGGTTACAATTACATGGGCAAGATAATGAATACATTTCTTATCAAGCATTGTAGCTTCCTCCATTGTTTCCCCTTCCCATCCCAACCCATCCTTCCCCTGCCTCCCTACCCAATCCTGCCCGCCCCCACCCTCCGCACCAAAGTTGTATTGCTGTAGCTAGGCATTCTAATACTAGATTGAAGAGAAGTGGAGAGAGTGGAAATCCTTATCTCATTCCTGAGTTAAGAGGAAATGGCTTTAGTTTTTCACCATTAAGTATAATGCTGGATGTAGGTTTGTCATATACAGTCTTTATTGTATTGAGGAATGTTCCCTGGATTCCTAATTTTTCCAGAACCTTCATCATAAAGCGGTGTTGGATCTTGTCAAATGCTTTTTCTGCATCTATTGAGATAATCATGTGGTTCTTATCCTTGCTCCTGTTGATGTGATGAATTATATTATTTGATTTGTGTATATTGAACCAGCTTTGCATCCCTGAAATGAATCCTGTTTGATCGTGGTGTATGATTTTTTTGGATGAATTGAAGTCAATTGGCCAAAATTTAGTTGAGAAGTTTTGCATCAAAGTTCATCAAAGAAATGGGTCTATAGTTCTCTTTCTTTGATGAGTCCCTGCCTGGTTTTGGGATGAGGGTTATGATGGCTTCATAGAATGAGGTCGGTAGTGAACTTTCTCTTTCAATTTCATTGAAGAGTTGGAGGAGTATTGGTGTGAGCTCTGCTTTGAAGGCCTTATAGAATTCCGCTGTAAAACCATGTGGTCCTGAACTTTTCTTAGATGGGAGGTCTCTTATTGCTGTTTCTATTTCAATGCTTGATATGGGCCTGTTAAGATGGTTTAACTTATCTTGGTTTAGTTTTGGCATGTCAATATTTGCTAAGAAAAGGTCCATTTCTGTCAAGTTCTCAAACTTATTAGCATAAAGTTTTGAGAAGTATTCCCTTATAATGTTCTGCATCTTGGTTGTTTCTGTGGTGATGTTTCCATTCTCAACTCTGAGTTTATTTAATTGGGTGTGTTCTCTTCTTTTTCTGATAAGATTTGCTAAGTGTCTGTCAATTTTGTTCATTTTTTTGAAGAACCAACTCTTTGTTTTGTTGATTCTTTCTATAGTTTTTTTTTATTCTAATTCATTCAATTCTGATTTATTATAATTATTTCTTTCCATTTACTGGATTGGGGTTTATCTTGCTGCTCTTTTTCAAGGAGGCTCAGATGTCTCATTAAATTGTTGGTTTCAGATCTCTCCTATTTGTTGATGTAGGAACTCAGAGCTATAAACTTGCCTCTGAGTACTGCCTTTGCTGTGTCCCAGAGGAGTTGGTAATTTGTGTGCTCATTTTTGTTGAATAGCATGAACATTTGAATTTCCTTTCTAATCTCTTCCATGACCCACTCATGATTCAGCAGTGTGTTGTTCAGCCTCCATGTGTTACAGGACTTTCTTTGGTGGCTTTTGGTGTTGAGTTCT